AGTTAATAATAACAACTATTTACTTTTATGAAATTATTTACTTAATAACGAGACTTAGGTAAACTAACCTATCTAGTAGTAAGGTTAGTCTCATAGAAAACCTAACCTAACCTATCACTTCTCGTGAATGAACCTTTGATTTCCGGATGTTCGGAAATCCGCAGCGCACCACCATCAGTACTTCATTCACTACCTTACACGACAATTCGGAACGTCATTAGTGCAATTCCGATTGACCGTGTAGGGTCCCCTTAATAGTTTACATGATGACCGCAGCCTTTTTGGAAGGGGTGTAAATTATTACCAAACCATCTTCAACTATTTCTTTTAAATAGTCAAGTGGGCAACAAATAAAAAAAAAAAAAAAATGAGGAAACTTCACAATTTACTTAAGAAAAAAAAAACTTTAACGTTGTGTATATTTATCAGTTCTTTTCCCATTTTCTTCAACAAATTTATTATTTTCGCAATACCTTTCCTTAAGTTTTGTAAGTAGTAGACTTATATTTTACTAACTTTTGTCAAAACAACTTTCTATGAGACTAACCTTACTACTAGATAGGTTAGTTTACCTAGGTCTCGTTATTAAGTAAATAATTTCATAAAAGTAAATAGTTGTTTATATCCCTTGTCTATATTATTATTAACCATTTTCAACTATTTTTTCTTTAAATAGTCAAGTAGACAATAAATTGAAGAGAAAAAAAAGTGGAAACTTCACAATTTACTTATAGAAAAAAAATCTTTAACTTTTGTGTTTATTTGCCATTAATTTTTCAATTTTTCTTAACAAATTGATTATTTTCGCAATACTTTTCCTAGATTTTGGTATGTAGTTCACTTATATTTTTCTAAATTTGATCTAAACGATTTTCAGGCACTAGGAAGTAATTATTTTATCTCCGTTTTTCTCTTGATGCCCAATATTATAAATGACAATGTCCAAATAAGCATATCTATGCTGTTTCTTTGTTTACAACTGCGCTAAATTCGTCAGCAACGATCTAACCTAAATCAGTAACGATAAGTAATGATCAGTAATGATTGAACGTGTAAGGGTCTTCATGATCAAAGCGATCGCGGGCAATCTTGGAACTTCTTGTGACGTTCATTTATGAATTACCGTGTAGGGTCTGCTTAAATGTCTCTTTTTCTGTCTATATTCATGTTTTTTTAAAACCACTTTCCTTTCTTTTTAGGTTATGTTTTGATCAATAGAAAAGTAGAAAAAATACTCTCAATTATTTCAGTTTTTATTTTGGCTTGATATATACAAAATAACCAGAGAAAACTGGCTGGCGTGCCCAGAAGAGGGTTTCATACCGCAAGTTGCGCTATTAAAATTTTTGAGGGAGAGGGGCCATATTTTGAATTATTTAGGGGGCTAATTTCGATGGGGTTATGGATTTTCGGACTAAGAAACAAGGGGAAAACTTGGAACAAACCACAGCAAGTGTAATTGTATATAGTCCACGATTTTCTAATTCTACCTTAGCTTGCTCTGTTTTTAAGAAAAGCTGGGCAATGACGTATATTCGGGGGAGGGAAGTGTAGATTTTTGCACCATCGACCTTAGGAGGAATGGGTACTTCTGGAAACAGGCATTTTCCCAAAACAGGTTTTCAGTGGAAAGAAAATTAAAAATGGCCGCCGAGAAAAAACTACGGTTATTAACTGTCAAATTAATATGAAATAACTGTTAATAAAGTTATAAAAATCAAATATTTCGAGAAACATGGTCTGGGTGATTTCAAATGGATTATGTTTACATATTAGTGTTTTTTGCTTCCTCACTACCGAAGATAGGGGAGCATTGTATTCGTGCGAGAGTTTATACAATATTTTGTGCTCAGAATTGAAATTTTCCACTCGCGTTTTACGTTTCAGACATCAAGGATCAAATTTGTTTCGACGTCAGTCTTTGCAAATTGGTGGCTTGATGGTCTCATATCAATTTTATCTAATTCCATCCTTCACTTCCGCTTACGCACGCGCAAACGTATTTTTTTAGATATGCCAATATTTCAGAAAGTGCTCGTTCGATTTGGCTCGAAGTTTGATAAAAGGTAGGTAATGGTAAAAAAAAAAGTATTGTCAATTTTATTGAATTCTGTCCATTATTTTCTCGTATATATGCACAAACGTGTTTTCCTTGATCGTCTATATCTCTAAAACCGCATGTTCGATTTGGCTCAAATTTGTAGAGAAGTTAGCGATTAGTAAAGAAATAATCAGGTAGGTATGAATTTTATCAAATTTTCTTTCCTCTGAAAACCTGTTTTGGGAAAATGCCTGTTTCCAGAAGTACCCATTCCTAGAAAAAATACTTCCGCTTTCGGGTCAGGAAATGCGTTATTTGATATCCCTATAGTTTGAAAAGGGCGGATTCGATTTGATCCAAACCTGCAGGAAATTCTGAAAACAATATATAAATTACTTAGTATAAATTTAATTGAATTTTATTTAATAATTAAAATTAATATAAATAATTATTAAAAATATAATGGCTGTGAAATGTGGAAGGCACTGATCATATGTAGTGGGAGTTAGGTTATTACAATATTGTTATGGAGTTATAAAATTTTAGAATTTATTCAAACAATTAATTTATACTGTATTGTTTGTTTGATTCCAAACGTTAATGCCATTACTTAGATTTCGTGTAATTTTCAGTCAATTGAAAGTAATTGTTACTCTGATTTTGTAAAAAAAAAGTCTTATTTGTGATTGTGTTTATTTCCATTGAAGTTCAACCAGGTCGTCGTGGTCTCGATTTTCTCCTTAAATATCAAAATTGTGCCAACTTAATCATATTTTTATCATCATCATCATCACAGGCATTAAAACCTGGAGCGGGTCTTCGTCAATTCGTCGCCTCCATTCCTCTTTGTTTTGTGTGCAAGGGTCCGCCAAGCTCTAGCATCCAGAATCTTCTCTGCGTCGGTTTCGACCTCATCTGCCCATCACATTCGTGGTCGTCATCTCCATCTTCTGCCATCCACATACCCGAACAGTAGCCGCTTGATTGGAGAGTCCCCATCCATCCTTGCAACGTGCCCAGCCCATCTTAGCCTAGAGAGCAGTATAAATTGCACCACATCCGGTTCTCTATAAATTTGGTACAACTCTACATTATGCCTTAGCCTACACTGATTTTATACTTTTAGGGCCAAACATTCTTCTCAGGATTTTTCTCTCGAAAATCTGCAACCTGATGGCGTCTGTTCGTGATAATGGCCATGTCTCTGAACCATATGTCAGTACAGGTCTAATAAGAGATTTGTACAGAGCTATCTTAGTGGATCTAGCCAGCAGATGACTTATTAAAATTTTAGCTATGCCAAAATAGCACCTATTAGCTGATGTAGTTCTTCTCTGAACTTCTTGAAAGAGCCTTTTTATCTAATGATTTGATACCCTAAACATTATCTGCACAAACTAAGGATCCTAGATACACGAAATTATTTACATTTTCAAAGGTATATCCTCCGAATATAACTGTGGGTGGTAGTGGCCTTTGGGAGTTGGCAATCATATATTTGGTCTTTGATTAGTTAATACTTAGACCCATTACCTGTCCTGCTGCCTCTGTAGCTTAAGAAGGTCCGTTCTAAGGCCCTCTGTGATCTAGCTATAATATCTATGTCATCTGCGTAGGCCAGAATCTGTATGGTCTTAGTTATCCAAATACTATGGAGAAGGTCACGGATAACTTTGATTAGTTCGTTCCCTCCAGCCTTCAGAGTTCCGCGGCTATGTCATCAGATCCTGGGGCTCTGTTGTTCTTTAGTTTTTGTTTTGGATGGAGTCATATATTTCCTCGTCATCTGGTGGATCGGTTAGCTCGAAGCCATTGCACAGAACAGGAATTACACTATTCACTGTGAGATCCTCGGGGTTCCCAAAATACTTCTAAAGTGAGTGACTCATCTGCCAAGGATGGTGTCTTTGCTTGTATTAAATGATCCATTCTCTCCTGGGCAAACATTGGATATTAGCTTGAATTCTTTACGCTGAGCATTCACATTGTTGTAGAAGGCTCTTATGTCAGCTTTACACCTTTGTTCTTGTTTTTGATTTCTCTTTTTTCTTCTATGAATGCATTTCTCATCTCGCCTTTTGTCTTTATATTCCTTAACTGCTTGGCGGGTTCGGTGCCTCTCTATCATTTTCCTGCATGTAAATTGAATATATTACATATTTTTATCTAATGATTTGAGGCTCTTTGAAGATTCTCCAATGCTTCAAATTTGCCACGGAATGAGTGATAAAATCTTCACGTAAAAATGGAAGGGTGCACATGAAGTTATGTGTCAAAATAGGTCAATAACACGTGTCTATACCCTATATGCAAACAAAACTTAATTTTGCACATATTCCTAAACTCAGTGCTGAGCTCAACAACGATGGCATCGAATCCATCTCTAAATTCGGCCAAATGATGTGTTTTGGAACTTTCCCTTTTGTATCACTCAGTAACAGGTTTAAATTGGTAGCTATTTAAAGGTTTTAAATTACTTTCGTAATCAAGTTCATAATAGTATGTGTATTCAATATTCTCACATTCCAAAATAGTATATGTATTAAACACGGGCGGATCTACGGGGGGGGGGCTTTCGGGCTGAAGCCCCCCCCAAAATGGTAAAATATGGGTATGTTTTATCGAAAAAAATATTTAAAAAGTATCTCTTAAAGTATTATTGTTTGTGTAATTACGTTTTAAAGGGCTTTAGGAATCACTTAAACACCATTTCATACAGGTAGTTAGTTTCTTTCTTTTTTTCCAAAGTAATTATCGTTATTTTTATGAAAAAAACAGCTTTCGGGCTGAAGCCCCCCCAAAATGAAATCCTGGATCCGCTAGTGGTATTAAATAATATGGTATGTGCATATAATATGAACTAAATTAAACTCAAAACTGTTTAAAGCTAAGCAAAAATATTTTAATTATTTTCATAATTCAAATTTTTATAACGATTTTTTAAATCCAAGATTTTTGACTAAATTGTTTTGCCTGCTTTCCCTAAATAATTTGGTTTCGCAACAGCGTTACCCTGGGCCCACACTACAGGCAAATCGAGGCAAATTCCCGCATTTTGCCTCAGTTTTATGGGAATTTGCCCGAGTTTGCTAGCGCCACTGTCGTAGAGAACAAAGGAAAGGGCGAGAGTGGGAGAAGGTGGTGGGGATATTTTGACCAGCTGGTGGAAGGTAATGGGCTGTTTACCCCGGTTTGTTGCATATCCATCCGAAATGGAAAACTTAGGCAAAATCCAAGCAAGTTTTGCATTATGGCCGTTACGCTGCGCTAGTGATGCATTAAATAGCCACTGTGATTGGCTGAGACAGAAACTTCCGTTTCCCGCTTTTTTTTTGCAATATCCGAAATAAAAAAAAATTAGTGCGCACAACACACAACTTTCACTTACCTTCTACTTTGAATAGAAATTACTTTCTGGAAATGTTGAGCAATTATAAAATTTTTGAAGTGCACTTTTAACGGGTTTATAGCTTAAAGTTTACTGCTAACAAATCATTAACATCACTAAAATAACAGAAACCCTATTAATTATATCAACGGTAGATAATAAAAACCTCCCTACCCCATCTTTTTTCGTAAACCATATAACTCCGGTCTCTGAGCAATATACATATGTCTAGAGAGATTTTCAAGTATATCTCTATATTCAACCTATAAATTATTATGGATTCTACGCCTATTAGTTATTAAACTGTTACTTTCCATTGTAAAGTTTACTACAAAGAAATTACGAGATTTTCATAGCCTGTCATAGATAGCTCAAAAGTTGTTACACTAATTTAACAAAGGGAAAATTCATCAAATTACTCACTAATTTAATTTTTTTAAATGTTATACGACGATCAACGGACGTTGATACCTAATTATTTAAATATAATATCAGATTTAGAATTATTAAACTACAGTAAATGTATTTAAGGTTATAAACATAGGCTTTATACATCCATTTAATATTTTTATATTTCACTTCTTTCACATTAGTACTATGAAATAGTTTTTTAACAATACATTGCGTTGATTAGGTGAATTTTAAATACTTTTTCAAACTTAAAAACAATTTAAATTTAGTTAGTAAATTTCATTTATTTAATTTCCTTGAAAAAATGTGATTTCCGTTAAATAATATTAGTTTACACAAATTATTATTTATAATAATCTCTCTCCATTACATTCTATATTTCATATTGTTTTTTTCTAAAATTATCCGTTTTCCAATGATATAACTTCTGACAAGTATTGCCGGTAATTCATTTTCATCCTCAATACACATTTTCCCTTTTTTCTCCATTTTTCAATTATCAAATTCTTTCAAAAGTTATATTTAGCATTTTTTCGTAATTCTTAATAATGAGAGATGGTTAATTATTAAAAATTAATCAAATTAAAGGTACTTTAGAGGATGAAATGTTGAACATTTAGGCATTTAAGCTATGTAAAGTGACATTAATGGGGATAAGACCTCAATGATATTAAAGACCACTTAATTATACAATAATACACGAGTTTAATCAAAATTTTCTGTGCAACCAGCTTTCTGTCTTTCAGTAATAACAAACAAATCATTATAAACTACAAAAATTAAATGAAGATATTATTTGCCATTAAATGAATTATGGAAGTTTGTTAGCGGAAGGGTTCATATAAATAAAATTAAATAAGATATAATGAAATATAACATATATTTTTGAACATTTTTACATAATATATTTTAAATAACAAAACTTTTAATCCATTACTTGTTTTTCCCATTTGTCATTACTTATATATATTTATTTGATTTATTATATTTCCATATATTTGCTATTTGTACTTATCATCTTTTTGAGTGTCAGGTATATATATCATAACCTTTCGTACTTATTCATTACCTTTTATTATCATAAACTAAGTTTTTGTTAATTCATCTAATTACATTTTATTATTCATATCTAATTATTCCATTTTATGTTTCTTCTTCATTTAATACTACTCTTCATTGTTTATTTCCGTTTTATAGTTGAATTGAAATACTTTATAAAACCAATTATGTCAAGTTCCACTTTTGGTAATATTATTTCAGCCAACAATTTGCCCTAACATCGCTGCCATACTCCTATCTACCTTAATAAATAAGTATAATCACTGAACTTTTCATTTTTTAGATAGATTCTGCATTTACACAAAAAAACCATTAAGCAAAAAGTTTTTTTATGTTTTTGAAAACTCGGAGTTGAAATTTTTAATGATCCCAATACTTCGCATTACATTAAAATAAAATAATATCCATTTTCACATATTATTTAGTCAATATAAAAAAAAAGTTCAAAATTTATTTATTTTTTAACCTATGCTTATTCTACTTTAGAGAGTTGAAAACAAGTATTCATTATTTTTTTAAAATGATCAGTTTATCAGTTTCTTTTTTAGTGCCCATATTTGTATCGGTCTGTCAACTAATTTTACATTTCACAGACATTAGTGTTAATCTACATCTGTTTTTTTTTTCTTTCTATATCTTCAGTTCAAATAAAACCGAACAACTCACAAAATTACTAACCTAGACTCTAATAAAGTTGCATTAATAACATTTTAAGCACATATTGAAACACCATAATACAATACTATATTTGTAATTAAATGACTGTATCATGGTTAGAGACTAACATCATACAGTGCCAATTTTGATGCCTACTTCAATAAATAATCAACCATCCTAAGCCTAAAAAAGTTATATTTGTATAAAACATTGTCTGATTAAAATAACAATTAAGTCTAAGTGTGGAAATTTTAACCACATAGTGAGACTGCCTTTGTTTTGTTATTCGCATTTTTAATTTTAGAAATTTGACATATACCTATCATTTATTGGTTATTTATACACAAGTTGTAATATATATGTTTGAAGGGAAATGATGGAAGATGTTATTTATAATACATACAACCCATATATTTGCAAAATATAATAAATCATATACATAAACTAAATTTAATAATTATAATGTTGCTAGAAAATTAATCTTTATATCCTAACTTTGTTATTATTATACAAAATAGAAATTCTATTAATGAACAAATAAATATTTTTAGGTTCAAATATACAATACAAAATATAAATGAATTAATACAACATACAAATTAATGAATACAAGATATGTTTTTGTTTATACAACATCATGAATAAAGGAATTTAACATTACAAATAAAGCATTTTTAAATGCATCAGAAAAAGCTGAATAATAACTAATGAGTATTCTAATAATTTACTGGATTATTCTCCATCTTCTTCAAACACCTTTAAAAAGGCTTTATTAATAATATGTCTTTTTGGAGGTACAACCTTACTAGTATTTACAGAAAAAGTGTCTGTTTTATATTTTTTAAATGGCCCAGCATGTTGCTGGAAAATCACTCTTTATGGTGCATTAAAAATACCACGGGCACAGGCTGCCATCTTGTTTAAACTAGTGCTGGTTTCAATATTACAAATATTTTTATTCCACAAAGTCCGCACACATCTTCCCCAAGCCTCGTTCCATTTCACATATGCACAAACTTTGTTCTGGTTGAGGTAATTGGTCCAACCCTTCTCCTAACATGGACCCATAATTCTGTGCAATTGTTTTGGGTTTATTTGTATTTCCGCACTGTTTTTCTATTATTTGGACGAGTTTATTGAACGGGGCCATAATTTCCTCTTCGCCTTTGTTTGATTTTTTTTTTTTGTCTTAGGCTGCAATACATACCGTTGTTCAATAAAGATGAATCATCGAGTACTTCAGCCTGTCCTTCATGTTCACACTCAACAGTAGGGGAACGCTGAAAAAAAAAAAAAAATTACCAATCTTAGGCCTGGTATCATCCAACTAAAAAATCAGATTTTTTAATTTCGTTATAATTTTTTCCCTTCTATTTTTTGCGATGCTTATAACACATTTAGTTGAGATTTTCATTTTTAGAGGAGGGTCTATGTCTGGCACACTTTAAGACTCAATTTTACAGAGAACAAATAAAAGCTATGTAACATTTACATTAATAATGAAAGTCGAGGAAAAAACAAAACTAATCCTTAATTGAAATAGGAAACAATGGAATCAAATTCATAACAGAAGAAAATAAATAATTTGTTACGGGTAAACAGATAATGTGGAGGGTTAAGGAAACAAGACAGAATGGCTAAGGCATCATAGGGCATTTTCTCTTTATAGTCATTACCCTATGTACATTGTTTTGCTATATGAAAAAGTATAAAAAAAATAACTTAATCATAGACTAGGAGGGATATCGAAAACTAACAATGAACTTCCAATTAACTAAATATAAATAACCAGTTAAATGCTAAATAATTAACACCCCTTGTCCATTGTTTCCTTTGCGATGATGTACTTAAGTTGGACGTTAGAAAAGAAAATAGAACTAAATTAACTTACTACAGACTTAATTGATTGTTTGAATTGAAAAATAATAAAGTAACACTTGCAAATTTAGTAAAAGAGGAATTAACCATTCACTAAATTGTAAAAAATGTCTATACAGTAAATCAAAGAACCTCATAAATAAATGGAGAAAAAAATTTTTAAATGCATTCCTTGAATCAAACAATTGAAAAACAATTGGCAGCTCATTGCAAAGTAATTAAGTGAAAATTCATTATTTCTTAAGTAATCAAGAACTTTGAATATCTTTTTCTTTATAAAATCAGAAAATTGTGTGCTTCTTGTAAGTATAATTGATGTATAAAAGGGCTTGTTTCATTTCCATGCCCATACAGTGTTTTTGTATAGGTAAATAAAGTCAAAATTAAAAAAAAAAAAAATCTTGAAAGTTAACCTATATCAAATATGCACATAGTGCATGAATTGAATGCAGTAAACGGAGGATATATCAAGAATTTTCACTGGTTAGAGAATTAATAATTGACTATGTTTAACGGAAGGAAATTAACAATCCTAGCAATTGTGTGTGAAAAATTACATAAAATCGCGTTAATTAGCTTTACAGAAATATATTTTGAAAAACAAGGTAAAATGTATTTATAGAGAAATGTCATAGCAAAGAAATAAACAATTCATATTAATAAGGAAAACTAAGATCAATTTTATGCTTACCTTGTATGATTCTCATGAATTTTCGACATCTGTCATCTTCATTGTTTTCTCCACTTATTTTCTTCAACTTGCTTTTTTTTTATAGAAGACATAACCAAAAGTAGCAGTCAACCCCACGGCAATTCTAGAAGGTCCATGTTGTTAGCTTGGACTGACTCCGTCCTACTGAGCACATTTTCCATGGTTAACGAGCTTCGATTAGTTCCTTATTTTGCCGCAAGTTTGCCAGAAATTTTGCCAAACCGAGTTTGCCTGTAGTGTGGGCCCAGCATTAAATTTCCCAACCTGATTCGATTTCACCGCTGTTTATATTTGATGTGTTTTCCATTTTAAGTAACCTTTAGGGTAGGTAATATTGTGCGCTTGTTTACTATTGTGTTGGTAACTTTTCCCATTAGGATGGATAATGCCGAAGAATTTATGCATTCTCTTGAAGAATTTAGTAAGTTAAAACCGAAAGATATTCCCCGAGAGCTTGAAGATTATTTGGGTTATGTTGCGAAAACAGGAGACCCTGTTTTCAAGTGGTCCATTATAAAGTGTCTTTTTCGAGAGAAATTACTGAATGTTATTACTGATTTTTATGAAAGCACTCTGTCTATAGAACTGCCACATTGTCCAAATGTCGAACCCTTTAATTATGAAAGAATGAAAGCAAATCTATTAGAAAAACTTGATTCATTTAATGGTGCTCCTTTTACTGTTCAGAGAATTTCTGAGCTTCTGACTAATCCATTTAAGGAATATAATAGGGCAGATAAATTCATGAGAGCTGTTGAAAAGAATATTTTGGTTGTCAGTACTCGTGAACCAGGCAGATATGCTGACAATGATGTGGATACACAACAAGAATCTTCTCTTAATGGAGTACCTGCACCAAATTATTCTGGAATTGAATCTTCGTTCTCATGTAATGATATTGGAGATGCTGACTCTTCATCACATACTAATCAAGAATCTCAAATTAATTTAGTGACAGGTGCCTCCTCAAATAGTCAAACACCAGTTTTGTTAAAGGAAAATGCAGTAGCTGTTGAAGACAGTGCTTATTCTGATGAACTAGGTCTTGTTAGGAATGATGAAGTAAGTCAAGAAATAATAATTGAAGAAAAAGACAATGAAACAGTCATTTGTTCTACCAGTAATGAAAAGTCACCAGAGTCTGGAGAACCACAAAGTGAAAGTACTTTATCATTAGCTTCATTAGAATATAAGTTATTAAAATGTTTAGAAGATTCTAATATTTCCTCCAAACAACCCAGTGTTGAATTTAGTGAGTCGAACGCAGCCAATCGTTTGCCAGAGGATTCGTTTGAAAATCAAACTGTTATGGTCACTGTGAGTAAGAATTCTTTTAACCAAATTGAAATAGTTATTTATCCGCCAATCTTTAAAGAAGGTTCTGAATCTTATGCTTCTCAGGTGTCTGAAGAACCCCATTCTACTGAATGTGATACTAGTAATTCTTTGGATTCTGAAACCAGCAATTCCTGTGATTCTGGTTTGTTGGTTAAACAGACAGTTGATGAACAGCGTAGTAATGATGTGGAATCTAAAGTTGATTCATCAGGGGTTAATGAATCAGCGTCAACATCCATTGATTCAATTAGTGAAATGGCTGAAACTGAAGATTCAGAAGTTTCTAATCCTACAACCTTAACATCTTGTGAACCATCTGAAATGGATGTTTCAGAGTGCCAAATATCTCATGTTGACCAGTCTCGAAATTGAAGAAATAATGTAATTAAATAGTCCGTGCGCTTTAAATATCGTATTAATATTTAATATGTTTTTTTATTATTGACACTATAAAATTGTATAAAATAATGGTATTTTGAAAAGGCACTGTTACTTGATTTTAACATTTACTTAATATGTTCCTCTGTCTTCTTTGCTTTCTGAAGGAGATAACATTTTACAGTTAATAATTGTTTGTGTCTTGTTGGAATCAATATTAGTTATCACAAGAAGGCATTTAAAGTTGTGTTATAGCATATTATGAATGTTCTAAACACACTATTATATGAGAACTATTTAATTTTTTATTGAACACTTTCTTGTCCATTAATTATGTGTGATGAGAAAAGTTTTTTATGAAGATGTATTCAGGGTTTTATTTATTGATAGTATTTAAGAAATCTTGTGATTTACTTCAGAAACATGAATATTTTTGTAAATATAAATTGTTTAACTCCATCTATTGTGTAGATTTAAAAATAAAGTTTTGATTTTATCGTTATTTTTATTACTTTAATTTTATAAATTTTAATTTATTCATTTACCTTCTTTAATTACCTAGTTAATGCTGAAGGGTCTAAGTCTAACTTGATGACTTCAAGGTATGGATGACAAATCAAGCCTCCAGATCATCTCAGCCTTTGAGCTGTTTTCAAGTGGTAGATTTCACAGAATTAATAGTTAAGATTGCCTTTATAAATAATTAATATTTTAATTTGATTCGTTGTCGTAATTAAATGAGATGTTGTTACAACTAATTGATGTTATTAAATTGATTAAATATTATTGGTGTTTTTTAACAATTTAAATAATAAAACAAAGAAAGAATGACAGAATAGGAATAGAGTAGAGAGGACCTCAAATTTATGGTCAAGTAAGCATAATCTTTAACCAGGAATTTGTTTCTTGAAAACGATAGGATTGGGGCTAGGTGATAGATTGGCCTCATTGATTTAGCTTTGATTAATAAAATCTGGTGTGAAGATTACATAAACTTAGAATTTATATTTTTTTATCAACCAATTTTACATCATGTGGGTAAATAAATTTTATAGATAGATAGATAGAAAAATAATTTTATTCTGGGACACAGTCCCTTGAGAATAACAAAATAGAACAAAATTAAAAGATCACATCTGGCCAAAATAAAATCAATCGAAAAAAAGAAATAATGTAAAAAAAAAACGAAACTATATACAAAACAATTATTACTATTACAAGGCACTTAAAGCTATTTGCACTAGTATACACTTTTAAGAAAATAATAAAGAATTAAAAAATAAAAATGTATCAATGAATCAATCAATGAATTTGTATGTATCAAATTCTCTATTAAAATCAGCTCGAATGGTTAGCAACTATCTGACTGTTCTTGGGATAGGAATTGGAATAGGAGGATTTTGAATTTGGATATGGATGGGGAATGTCGAATTTTGATAGGGAGGGAATTCCAGAAATTGACAGAGCGAACAACAAAGGAATTTTGGAATGAGGCAGATCTGTGAGAAGGCATGTAAAGATTAGAAGGTCGAGATCTTGTGGACAGGGAATGGACTGAGGATTTGAACTGGAGAAGATTGTAGGCGTAAGAAGGACGATGACTGTTGATGATTTGGTAGAGGAACGTACCTAGTATTGTCTTCGGAAGGAGGGGAAAAGCCACTTTAACTCAGCATAGTGGTGAGAAACATGGGAGTATCTTGGGGCCCCAATTAAAAATCTTAAGCAGCTGTTCATTAGACTTTTCAGTCTATCACGGAGCTCCACAGAGAGGCCATCATACACCACACAGCTATAGTCAAAGTGGGGGAAAATGAGAGAGGAAACTAGGAGTCTACGCGTATGTTGAGGTAGGAGATGGCGGAAGCGATGGAATAGTTTGAGGGTGGAAATTGTCCGTCGAGATATATGAGAAATATGGTGATTCCAAAGGAGGTTTTGATCAATGAAAAATCCTAAGTTTTTAACAGAGGAGTAGAAGGAGATTGGCTGGTCATTAAGGTGAAGGATGGGAAAGTCTGGATGGGATCTAAGAAGGGGCTTGGAAGCAATGACAATGGCCTGAAAATACATATAAAATACATTTTCTATCTATTATTAAATAAATTTGTATGAATATAAACACTACTTTTTATATGTTATATTATTGTTTTTCTTACAATGAATAAAGACTAAAAAACTAAGAAAGCTGATACCCATTTGATTAATAACCTATAAGCGTAATTAAATAAAGATTGAGGTAAGGTCTACTACTGGTATAGTCTGTGAGACAGACCCCCTTACCATGCAACTCCCTCCCCCCCACCTCAGGTCCCTATAAATTGGGTATCACGTTTTAACTAGTTATTGAAAAAAATGGTGCCCGCAACACACAACTTTCACTTACCAGTCAACTTTGAATATAAAATATTTTCTGGCCATGTTGGCCTATTATATAATTTTTGAATTCCATTTTTGACCGAGCTAAAGCTAACAAAATCGTAAATACCATTAAAATAACAAAAGTCCTATTTATTATATCACAGGTTGATTATGGGTCGCACGACTATTAGTTATTAAACTATAACTTTCCATTGCAAAGTTTACTAAAATGGAATTAAGAGTTTTGCATTGTCTGTCATAAACTGGTCAAAAGTTGTCACACTAATCGGAAGTGAATACTGTAGGAATATCACAAAGGGAAAATTCATCAAATTATTCACTAATTTAATTTTCTAAAAGGTTTCATGATGATTTTTCGGAATAGATACCTAATTATTTAAATAGAATATCATAACTAGATAGGTTATAAACATATCCATGAAATATTTTTATATTTCACTTCTTCTTTCACTCAAGTACAATGAAATAGTATCTTAAACAGTGAAATTGCCATGAATCCCTGGGTTTTAAATATTTTTTCGAACTTAAAGAAAAAATGTTAAAAGTTTACATTTAGTTAGAAAATTTCATTTAATTTCCTTGAAAACATGTGATTTACGTTAACTATTGTTAGTTTTTAGAAATTATTATTTATATTTTTCCATCACTCTCCGTTACCTTCTACAATTTTCTATACAAGATTATTGTTTTGTTTTCTTAAATTTTCATTCCAACATTATATTATACGTATACTTTCTGACTAGTATTTCGGGAGATTCATTTTCGACCTGGATAAGCATTTTTATTTTTTCTCCTTCGTTAAATTATCATATTCTTTCAAATATTAAATTTAGTATTTTTTCGTAACTCTTAAAAATATGAGATGATTAATTATTTAAAATAAACCATATTAAAGGTACTTTAAAGGAAGACGTAAATGAACATTGGGCATTTAAGCCTTGTAAAGTCAATAGTTATAATTGACAGGTGCGGATAAATATATGTAAGTGCAAAAAAAAAGCCTTGTAAAGTGACGTCAATGGGGATAAGAACTGATATATATTAAAGACCACTTCATTATACAATGATATACCGAGTTATAATAATAATTATAATAATCAAAATCGTTAAAGCCGTTTTGAGAAAATTGTAAAAATGTCTTTCAGCGTTGATGATAAGTGGCACTTCCGGTTAGCCGATTTTAAGGAAAATGTTGCACAATGTTCCCACAAAAAAAAAAAAAAAAAAAAAAAAGGTCTGCCAAGTAAAATCAGTTTAGCTTTCTCACCGTTTGCATTGGCTAAAAATATCTATATTACAAGGTCTGAATGTTTTCTTATGAGAATAAAATCCCTGGGAGAAGGCGTTTTCGGAAATTCAGTAATCCCTCAACATATACAGGTTTCACATCCATGAAATTTTGTTTATCAGCGAATACTAAAATGCGAAAAAGTTCCGCATATGCAGATTGCATGTTTGATGACTCGGGATTAAAAAAAAAAAATCGAGTGCGTATTGAACATGAATATCACTACTGTTAGTGCGAAAAGTCGTATGTAAACATTGCCTGTTTTACAGGAAAGCATAAAAACGAATTGTTTTGTTATTAATAATTTATTGCCCTCTGCTATTTTTCATCGTATTAGAATGCTTATATCAGTTGCAGAATTCAAAATGTCACCTTTGGCACAAATATAATTAAAAGTTGAAAATTTTTACATACGACCTTTTGCACTAACAGTAGTAATATGTACTTAATCGGCATTTTTTTCACTAGTAAAATCGATGTTACAAAAACTCCATAAGAGAAATAATGAAAAACTAAACTTTTTGTTTTTTCAGAGTTAACGAGACCAATACTTTTCTTTAGTCAAAACAAAACTATTTAAGCTGGAATATAAAAAATATATGTAAAAATCACACATAAACTTGATAGCATGACGAGCTGGTTGAACTTCAATAGAAATAATCACAACCAGAAATAAGATTTTTCTTTTTTTACAAACTCAGGATAAAAATTACTTTAAATTTATTGAAAATTACACGAAATCTAAGTAACGTTTGGAATCGATGAAACAATACCGTATAAATTAACTCTTTAAATAAAATTTTATAACCACATAAAAATATTACTCCCAATCAATATGGTCAATGCCTTTCACATTTCACTGCCATTGTATTGTTAACAATTATTTATATTAATTTCATTAATTGAATGGAAATCAATAAAATTCATATTAGGAAAACTCTGTGCTATTCTTCAATTTTTTTCCAATTTTGGGTCAAATTGAACGCGCAGTTTTCTTACTATAGGCTTGCCAAATAATACGTTTGCTGATCCGAATGCGAAAGTATTTTTTCTAGAAGTGGATAGAATTTGATAAAATTTATACCTACTTGATTATCTGTTTACCAATCCCTAACTTCTCTCCAAATTTGATCCAAATCGAACTTGCGGATTTAGAGATATAGACAAGGTATCAAGGAAAACACGTTTGCGGATATATCCGAGAAATTAATGGACAGAAGTAAATAAAATTGACATTACGTTATTTGTTTACCATTACCTATCTTCTATCTATAGTTTGAGCCAAATCAAACAGTTGTTATAAAACTTGATAATATTGATGTAGAAATAAAATCACATACTTAAATATTATTTAATTTAGTATTGTTTGTGTAATTGCGGTTATAAAGTGATAACAAGATGAATATTTTTGAAGTTTGTGCAAAGAAGAGAAACGAGGCAGGATTTTCTTTGAAAAAAGAGGAATTCTACCTAAGGAACGCTATTGTAAAAAAGGCCGCATTATGAAATTTTATAAAGATAGGAAAGAATATAGGTGGATCATAAGACAATGCCGGTATGAATGTGGCATGTATACGGGTACGTGGCTATGTTACAGCAGGTTATCGTTAAGTATAGCCCTTTTATTCATTTACTCATGGACACAGTAGTATACGACGTTCCAAAGAATTCAATATGAGCTTCGCTACAAATGTAGATTGGAAAAATTATCTGCGGGAGGTGTGCGCATCTAGTTTGCTGAAAAACACGATTGTTATTGTAGGGAAAGGACTGACAATAGAGACTGTTTTTCTCGTCGAAAGTATAATGTAGAACGCATCTATCCACAGCAA